CCTTTACAGGCTGCAAAATACAAGCTGGCAGCTCTGCCTGTGGCAGGTGCAGTCATTGGTGGAGTAGTGGGGGGTCCCATTGGTCTCCTTGCAGGCTTCAAAGTGGCAGGAATTGCAGCTGCACTTGGCGGTGGGATTTTGGGCTTCACAGGTGGAAAATTGATACAAAGAAAAAAACAAAAAATGATTGAGCAGGTCTCTTCCAGCTGTCCAGAGCTTTCTCACCAAAGTGCCAAAAAATCCAGCTGAAGTATCAATTCATTATGGCCAGGAAGAAGCATAGTAGCCGTGCTAATGACAGACTTGCAGCCTTATGCTTTAAATACAAGGCTGAGTTGTGTGAATTTTGATGACATTACTGTTCCTTGGGAGGGCTGAAACAGTCATGTTAGAATTTCTCTTTTCAGACATGGTGACATCAGTCCTTTGAAAATTATATGGATAACTTTTAATTATAAAATTCTTAAGTGAGCTATATGCATAGCTGTAATGATGGGTGACTGGTGCTTCATGCCAAATTTGCACAAACTGTCTTGCAGACAATATAAAGAGAGATACTTGGAAAACCCTAGTACTTTCCCATGAATGCCATGAGAAGCTGGAGCTTTTACGGTAGTGCTCCAAAAAAAAGGAAATAAATGCCATCAATCTTTCATGGTTACTTTAAATTTACTTTCACTTATCCGGATTCCCAAACTCTTCCTGTGTACATCCCTAGGATATGACCGACTGTGTGTGTTTAGTAATGCACAGGGAAGTGTCAGCTGTCATAAGAGAAGGTGAAAATCTTGGGTGAGCAATGTGGAAAAAAGTCATGTATATCATGTATCACATATATCACATCTGCCTCCATCAGCCATATCAGATCAGCATCAGAACCAGCTTTTCCTCTTCTTCAGGTACCTTTTTTTTTAAAAATTTGTGAACTCCTCACCTTCCTCAAAGTGTAGTTATGAATTAAACAGTCTAAGCAGCAACCCTGCAGGACTGCTACTGGAGGATAATAATTTTCCATAGTTGTTCAGCTCCTTGGCTTGTCCTGAGAACACCATACAGGGTGAAGAGCCAAGCTCTGGCATTCTGAACTTGAAGCCTCACCTTGCTTAAGCAGCACTTTCTGCAAGATGTTGCCCTTGCATCTCGTCTCCTGGCACCAACAGCACTCTGGTGGGAGAGCTGAACACTTCCCTGGAAGGCAGTGCTGCAGCCAGGCCTACTCCCTCAATAGTCTGTTATTCCCTCAAGGGTGACATTAGGCCCCAGGTCAGTGGCGGGTGAGGCAGCGAGGCCCCTTGGATGGTGGCAGTGCCTGCTGCATCCCCAGAGGATGGGACTGTCGAAAACATCAACACGATACTGTTTACCATGTAAACCACGGGTGTTTGGGGCAGCTGCACACCTCTTGCAGACGGTGCCAAAACAGCTGCTTCCACCCACACTGCAGAGTAGCTGCTGAGCCTTTTCAAGATTTTGGGACATGCTGTGGAGCCTGTTATGGGGTGGGATGCTGCTTCTGCTGGCTTTTTATAGTGGATACTTATTATCTTACCACCCTTAAGAAGCCTGTTGCTGCTGAAGCTTCCATTGTTAAATACAGAAGTGTTAACGTGTTTTTATTGTCACCTACTTGTACTATTGTCACATAATCTACTGTTTGCCACTTTCAGGACAGTTCCCAGACTAATGCTGCTACTGTTTAGGGGGAACAGAAATTGAGGTTTGGAAGCCATTTTTTAAAGTTCTTAGATTGGTCAATTAATCCTGAACTCTGCTTGAGTTCAGTTTTATTTAGGTGCACACTGAAGTCAGTGTTTAGATAAGGCTCCCTAGCAGGGAACACTGTCCAAGGAAGCATCCTATAGAAACAGCTCCTTGTCGATAACCACTACTTTGGTATCATCACTGGAAATCACTGTCTGCTAATGACAGATGATGGGTTTTTGTGCCTAGACATTGTAAGCAACTGTTAGTTACAGCACAAATAACTTCTTCTGAGCAGTTCTTCCTTATTGCTTTTAAAATACTGAAATTGCCATAAGCCAGAACATTACATCTATTTTAAGTAGGTCTGAGACCCAGGGAAGCAATGTGTGCAAGAACAGTTTTCACCAGTATTTGCAGACATTGTCAAAACTGCATTTGCTAAAGCCATGGTAAAAACCAGCTGGAGTGCAAAACATGACCCGAGTAATTCAGCTCATTTGCTCCTGACCGGCAAAAAGCACTTTTCTTTAAATGCATCTACTTTGGCTGTAAAGAGAGTTAGTGAGCGTGTAACAACTTCATAGGCTGTTCATTCCTTTGATATTTATTTTCTACATTTAAAGGAATACGCTAAGAAAAAAAAAGTGTTTTTAATCAAAAACTGTGGTTGATTCTTTGTATGATTTTAAACTGCTGTATCTGCTTTCCTATCATATGCTGTGAAACCTCCTGCATTTAAATGACAGCAGCCACATCAGCGATCTTGCGGACTCCATCCTCTCCCCCCACGCTGGATTAATGCCAGGACAATCTAAATTCCTAAGACTGAATTCCTACCCCAGCTTATACAAATTCAGCCTGATATGCACTCAGTTTATGAAACGTCTAGCAGGAGAACTATTCTTCCCCCTTGCGTTTTTAAGGAAGCAATTTCAAAGCATTGTGTATACACTAGATGTGGGAGTCTATTATTTAAGCTACGATTTTTTAAAATAGGTGGGTTATTTACATATGTGAAGAAACATCAGCATCTGAGTAACCAAACTAGCATTTAAATTGCTAGGCATGTTAACCAGAAAAATTTTAAGATATAAATAACTCTTTCAGACCAAATAAAAGATTTTTGCTATGAGACTGGCTGTAACATTTACTGAGAACATTGGGGCTTATTTCCTTTCAGCGTGTAAAAGATGAATCCCTCCCAAATTTTATATTATTAAAACAATTGCACTACCAAGATTTAAGAATCCTGTATTGAGTTACCAAACACATGCTTCAGCTATTGAAATATTTACATTGACTGAAATTCATACAAGTTCCTGAAGTGCCAGCTGCATCTAGTAACTCGAACACACATGCTAGCTTAGAAATGGACTTGGCAAGTTCAATTAAAAAGAATTTGGAATATTTTTATTCCATATAGGGATAATACTAATATTTTTGACAACTTCCCATGTAAGCCTTGAGAAGTGTTAAAGGGAGTGGTAAGCTGAGCACCAAATGGTTAAAATATAGATGCAGATGATCAGAGTCAAACAGCTCAATCTGAAACACAACTCGGATTTTGTCCAGCGACTGTTCTCTCCAGGCAAATTCTCTGTATCACCAGACACATAAAAGCTCAAGTGACACTCAGCAGCATGTTAGGCAAGGACAGCTTGGCTTTAGCTGTTCAATCTTCTGCTTGCAAATAGAAAAGTCACTTGAACGCCGTCACAGCCAGGTCGCTAGTCATCCATAACCCAGGAGAATCAGGTCCAGCTCCAGTTGAATACACACTGAAATTACTGTAGTGTGTAACTGTCATGAAACTACCTGTTACAGCTAATTGTCCACCTACTGCTGGAATGCTAAAGCTCTGGGAACAAGTCTTTAGTCTGAAAAGCAAACTTGGATTAAGGAAGAGGGGTTGGCAGAGGGGGTTCATCTCTTTTAGCTAAAAGTACCTGCCCCTGGACTGCTAGGTGGATTATGAGGAAGCATTTTCCTCCAGAAAGAGAAGTTTTGACATCTCCCACCAAACAGCATCTATAAATAAGAAGCCTAAGGAAAAATAGGAACCTCAGAGGAGTAAGATGAGTACTTGCAGGCACCATGCAGGAATTGACTAAAATTTCAGGTGCCAGAATTGTGTAGTATGACCTGTAAAAAACAAGTGGCAGCCTTAAAACCACAACTAGCTCACATCTTTAGATTCCAACTGGAAGGCAGTATGACTCAGCTGCCAAAAATGCTTGATTTGGCATGAGATGGAGAAAAGGAGAAGGCCAAAAATGCAGATTCACAAAAACAACAAAAAAGTATACCTGTAACCAAAACCTTGCAATACTTTTCTCAGTTCTTAAATCTGCAGCTGCTCAGTTTGCTGTAGCTTAGTGTAGGTGGGTACTAGTGATTCTGTCCTCAGAATCACTCCCTAGAAAGCTCCTGTTCCTGGTGCTGCGGGGGCTTGATTCAGGAGGCTGTCCTGGGATCAACTTTTGCCACAGTTTCACCAGACCATGAAAGTCTTCTGTCAATAACTGACCAGGTGGCATCCGTAGCTGAGAGGCAGAAGGAATCCTGAACAGTTACTACACAAGTTGAGGCACTCTCCTAAGTAAACCTGAACCCAGTGTTCCCCCTGTCCAGAGAACAAGCTCATTTCTAAGGACACTAAACCTTGGGGGCCCAAGTCAGGTCCTCGATTCTTTGTAGTAAGTGTACTATACAAATTTATCTCCAACAATGCCCCACAAATTAACAGATGCTGTTCCATCTTACAGATTCTATGAGTTCATCTCACCCAGCAGCTTGAAGATTCATTGAGAAAAGCCCTTATGCTGGTGTAATTTGTAACAGAAAAGCAGTCATTCCTTCTTCAGAGCAGAATTCAAAGATTATGCAATAAGTAAGGCACAAGCCAGACAAATAAGAGTAACAGAAAATTTGGTTCTTTGAACAGTAAGCATCTGCCAGGAAGGCAGGGATCTGGGGGAAAAACAAACAAACAAAAACCCCCAGAGACTAATCCTAACATACATACAGATATTAATTTGGGACTGACAAAACTCAGATGCCAGGCCAGTCCCAGTCCTCTCTTACTATGAAGGGTTTCCAACATTCATGTTCTTTTAACACAACCATGTGGGTAACACAGCAATCTTAATTCCAAGAAATCAGAGTAGGTCAATACAGCCCCTTCATTCAAAGTACAGCCATTATCATTGAAACCTTTCCTTTCCTCACTTGGTATTTTAAAATTCAGTTTTGTTTAATTGCTTGGACATTTACAGCCAGTAAATCACCACACAAGATTCTGTAAAACTTTAATTTATTCCCCTCCCAAGTATCCAGAATAGAAGACCCTCTTAAGTTGGAGAAAAATGTGACAAAGAAATAGATTACCAGGATAGCTGTTCACATGAAGAAGAAGAAAAAGCACATACTACCAAGGTTACACAGAAAACAACCCAGAAGTCCTATTTAATGGGATAGTGCAAGTTAACAGCATGTCTCTGGCAAGGATACCTTCATTTGGATTATAAAAGTTTTACAGAACAGAGTTAGATCAAGAGTCTGGATGGGTCTCTGATATTTTACGATAGCATTAAGAATGTACTGTTTGAAAGATGCTGTACAGAATGACCCACCAAACAAATGTATTTACAAGCCTGGGGAGAAAAAATTATTTTTCAGTTTATTCAAAATAAAAATACACATAGAATTATGAAAATATAGGTTTACTATTTCCACCACACAGAAGTCAACGCTGCTGTCTGAAAGGCTTGCAAGATTATTTCAAGTTTTTAAAGTTCATCTTTTTCCCTCAATAAGGTGTACCTATGTTCACTGGGTGCCAGTTTCTGGAATGAGCTTTCTGGTGGGCTGCTTGCTAAATCCTGAATTGGCTGAAAAACAGAACAAACAGTAAAATTGTTTGTTAGACTAATTTTGATAACCATCCACCTCCATAAAATGAATTTCTAGCATTAATTATGGGAGTGCATGAATGTCCAGCATTCCCACAAATTAAATTTTGTGGGGTTTTTTTTTTTTTTTTGGAAGGCACATTATAAGCCCCAAGTAGGAGGAGCAAACATGCACACACATATTAATTAAGCACTTTCAGTTAAGGATATTCCTTTTGTTGGCACATTGCAAAGGTAATGGCCATCACACAAGCTTCTGTACAAGTCACTTAGAAATATTTCAAATGTACCCCACTGTATATTTGCTTGAGTCTGTCTACCACTTGCTTTGAGGGTATTCTAATTTGTGTGTGTGTTTTATGAAATACACCAGAGCAAAAGAGCCATCGCTGACAAAATTTTTAGTTTTTTATGGAAACTAAAAAAAAAAATCCCACACCAAGACCAAACCAAAAAAACCCCAACACAAACCCCTCCATGCAATTCAAGGGACATAGGTGACCTAAGCCGGCAGGCTCCAGTTTAGTTAAGGCCAGATTTCCATCACACGCACATCCACAAGATGGCAGGATGCCATACGAAGATGAGGACGTAAATATCCCAGGTTTTGTGTGCATTTCTCAAGGCAGAATGGAGACAAGAGCAAGCCTGCAGCTCTAGGCTCCATGCCTGTGCCCAGATATGCAGGCAGCAGGATCCAGGGACTCAGCACATTCCTCTCTCCCTGGCCAAACCTCCTCCTCACGGCAGGTGCCTCAGAGCATCTCTTCCTCATGCACTCCTGTCCCCCTCCAAGCTGACAGACTGCCTGGCCTCTGTCTCAGTCTCCAGCCCTTATTTCTGCACCTCCTCCTGTTGACTTGAATTCTGGTTGCTCATTGAATTCTGAAGAAACACAGGGATCTACTGGTTAAATGAATTACTGCTCAGACAGTTCAGCCCACGTGTTTTCTTGGCCAGTCATGACGACATTCAGAAGCAGTCATTTTCCTGGCCAAGGCAAGCCCTCTAGGGCTTTCCTGCTTTTAAATCTTTTAGCTTTAAGCAGGGCAACAGGAGTCTGCACTCAGAAGGCTCAGTGCAGTGCCACCCTTACCACATCCCAGAGATAAACAGCAAAATGACCATAGCTATAAATAGTTCCTCACCATGGGTTCTCAGGTGGCCTAAGGCACCCCAACACAAGGGCTCCAGGTCTCCTCTGGGACCAAAGTGGTTCCTCGAGCCCAGACAATGCAACATATAACTTGAAAGAAGTGTTTTAAATGTTATTTCTTTAGACAGTGCCCAAGGTAATGAAAATGCTCCCTGACAGGCCGTTACATTTGTACTTTTCAGCATGCCACCAAGCACGTGAGCTGACTGGTGTATCAAGAAGATACAAGGCTGATTAAGACACAAAAGACTGGGCTAAGCGGAGGGAATCAGGGTTGGTAATGTCTTTTCTTTCCTGAGACTGAGGTGCTCCTGAGTTTTGTCTGGAGAAGGATCTAGTAGTTGTGTTCCTGAAGAGATCCCAGGAGTGACTTCCAGGTATGTAATTACACAACATGACAACCTTGGAACAGAACCATGAGGAATCCAAACTGACAAGTGCAGCCTGTGAGTACTACTGATGCCATTTGTTAACTGCATTAATAAAAGCAATAAGGTCTATTACTGCTTATCCATCTTTTCTTGATGCTCTAAGAATCTTCCTCCTGCTTGGATTGGCAACTTTCTACATAAAACATAAAAATTCAACTAATTGCTCTTTCCCCTCAGAAGCACCCTGTAGTAGTGAGTTGTGTGGGAAATAACGCAGCTATGATGTAGTATCAACTTTTGCACTGAAGTCACATGAGAATCACGTAAGTCACATAAGAGCAGCTCTATGAGGTCAGAAGAGTCATCTACCCCAAGATCTGTTTCAGTGGAGAAAATATATTTTCTTATAATTTTCCCTTATTCAAGGCAAAGAGGTACCATACGACCCCTAATGCTCTCCTTGCCTTTACCTAAAGGAAGTTAAAGTGCCAAGCAGAATTGGCAATGTTACACTTCTGTAATCAGATTTCTCTTTCAGGAGACAGAGGCTAAAAGTATAAACATATTAGAAAGTACAGCTCTGACGAGGAGTAAAAAAAGGTCCTTACTATGGCCAAATTAAATGTATTTGTTATAACCTTACCTGACCAGGTGCTACATCAGTTGGATCTGGGCCATGATGAAACTCTCTATGCAGTTTTCCAGAATGCAAGTCTAGTACAAATTGCTTCAGTTTACCTGGAATTCTGGAAAAAATTAAACAGAAACCACCACATGTTTATTACAAGTTAAGTCCAAACACAGAAGATTTAAAATGCACTGTTTAGAGTAGCCAACTTCTCTTTATCTAGCACACTATGCCCACTTTTAGGTGATTATTAGAGGACACGAAGCCAAATGGTTTGCTAAGGTACCCTACCAGCTTCTCTTTCTTTCCACTGTCTCTTGAGAACACAGCAAGTATTTAATCTTTTCAATAACTCCCACAGAGTTGTACCAGCCGATAACTTCATTGTATATTCCCTTCAGCTCCCCACTAACTGTAATGTAAGAGGGAACAGCAGGTTCCAAATGCACAGTTTACAGATACAAATGACAGTTGGGTACCAGTATTGACAAAACATCTTTGAAAGGCTCTCTATTACCTCAGCAACTGCATATACACCAGAGATATGCACTAAGAGGATATCAGTGTAAATCTAAACTGAGATCATCTTACAGTCACCCATAGCAAACGTGCTAAACTACAGCATCCAATTTTATTTGTGAAATGTCAGATAGACTAAAAATCTCAAAGTGAAGAGTTGATCTAGTAAGTATCAAAGATGAGATAAAAGACTATAAGGAGCACTACACATGCAATCAAAAGGTAGTGTCTGAATAGAGACAGGTTTTGTAGGGAGTCTTTCATCAAACCAACTATTACATTTAGGAAAGAGGAACAGAGTGTGGTCAGACAAGTTATCAGCAATATTTCAGATAGTCAGAAAACTCCATGCATAAAATGCAGCATAATATAGAGTCAGAGAGTATCACTAAAGTAATGGCTGTAACTGATCAGTATTACAGTGGTACTTTAAGGGATCTCTTCCCTTCCCAGGTAAGATCAGGAATTAGTACTGATGGAGAGAAAGAGGTTCATTCTAGCCTGGTGATAGGGACAGCAGAATTACTGCTCCCTGCTTTACCTTGGGCTCCTGCCCTCTTCTAGATCAGGCAGATTGTTGGAGACATTCTCCTTTCCTAATGCAACAAAGGCACTTGGTACCTACAGCCGTGTGTGGCTTAGCCTGTTCTTGCTCAGAAGCTACAGTTGAACACTCCCCCTGCTATCATTTCCAATCTGGAACAGTAGGATGAATAGGAATGGGTGGCCAAAGTTGATGGTAAAATATTGAGTGATGGTCTCATTTGCCTATGAAATGCCCATTCTCCAAAAAAATATGAACTTCCTATAAAGAGAGAGGAAATCTTTTGGTGGGCCAGGTCTGAAAGTGCCATATGCAAACACTACTGGCTGGTGGTGACACTGAGATTACAAAAGACAGCCTGGGGCCAGTTTGTAAAAGAGTCCAGGAAATGTACTAAGCTGACAGATATCCTTACAGGTAGATGAAAGTCTCAGAATTAAGATTCTACTTATTATTAAAAACCAAAAAGCCCACACAAAACCGACAAAAAACCAACAAACAAACCAAAACAAAAATTCAAACCACATACACAAGAGGATATCACCCCAGGTGCTCCAAGCTCTCTTTGTTTTCAAACTGTTAGATATTTCTATGTATCAGCCCAAACTCCTAGAGTAAGGTTGAATAATTATTTATTGTTAGGCAACTGTCTACAATCCTGACATCTCTTCCAGCTTCATTTGTATGTTACAACTGGTACACATCAAGCAAGTAGCTCTTATTATTCTGACAGTTTCACAGAAACAGAACGCATAAGAAATATAAAATGAGTCTAAACTAAACATCTCTATTGCCCACATAAGAGATATTAATTTGTTTTAGGGCTGTTTTAAAAGTGGCAATAAAAATAGTGGTTTTAAAACATAAATATCCTGCTATTTTTTGCTGGCATTTGCAGTGAACACAATATTCCACACAAATAGGAACACAAGGAGACCAATAGTCACTATCAGAATTTCAACATACATGGCTTCAGAAATTTGAAAAGCACTATTTAAGATATATCAAACTGAGACCACATTTAATGAGCCTGTGGAGAATTACAGAAAGCAGCTAAGTTCAAACCCTCCTTCCAAATGTCAGCATTTCAGGTAGAAAAATGCCTCCTGGAATGGCAGAATCAGACATGGGATTACATTCACATTGCATGCTAAATCTGAGCTTTGAATCCTTGGCTTTGACAAAAACAAAATACCCAGCCTAGGCATCCAACCAGGACTCAAGAGGCAGTGCATGTGCAGGTACTTCCTTTGAGGACAGAAACTGGAGTTTTAACACCCAAGCAGAAGACAAAGATAGAGCACTTGAATAAGGCTGAAAGCCCCTGAAGAGAACGTTTAAACATCTTCATTCCTCAACTGAGCCATGAGAGACAGAACATCTGCTTCCAAAGCAGTGCAACATAAAGAGACAGGCTGATGTAATGAGGATTATCACAGTGGCATATCACACTTGAGCATTCTGATACTTTGCTCTCACATATTTCATCCAGATAAACATGACAGTGATGGTCCATTTTCCAAGTTGCAGTTGGAAGATTTCTAAAATCCACACAATAGGGATTTCTCTGCCAGCTTTCCAGATTTAGACTAATGCAGGAAGGTTAGAATTGCACAGCAGGAATAGTCAAAGCAGTAGGCTGGGAATTCTTACATGGTGCATTTTACAGTAATCCCTGAATAACAGCACTTACATGTTCCATGCAGTATTTTAAATCTATTAGAGTTAAGTGATATATCTAGATCACTACTAAAAATACCATGCTAGGCTGCAAGTGCCTAACTACTACAGAAAACAGTAAAACTTCAAAATGAAAGAGTGGCATCTAAAAACTTGAGATTCTTTTCTTGCATAAAGTAATACAACTCCATTCAAACAATGAATTCACACCAACTCATATTGCTTTTAGGATTTGACACTGAATCACACAGATTTACTCATCTTCCTACCATAGTACTGATTAAAGTATGAGCACACACCTTTTCCTTTGTCCTTCTCAAATTAAAATACATAAAGAAAAATACTTACGACAAGTCACTGAAGTCTGGAAAGACATACATGTGCCTAAAGCTATCAATGGCAATGACAGGACAGTCTGCTGGAGTCTTCTGAATGTGCAGGAGTGGGTGCCTGAATTTGTCACAGTCAGCATGGAGGAAGTTTATTGTACCTTAAAATCGTGAGCAGACAAAAATCCATATTAAAACTTTTTTAGTATTATCTTGAAACCCTAACCAGTTTCATAACTATTATAAAGGTGGATATATTAGATACCACATGCAAAACTTGAAAATAGATCTAAATTTTTAACTAACTCAAACAAAATAACAGATTTTCTTAAAGTGGGGTTTTTTTCCATATTACCAACTGAAGCTTTGTTTAATGCCCTGTCAAAATGCATTTAGTCATTTAGACAAGAAAGATTTCTAAAACAGTTCTTTACTAATAAATTGTGTATCTATTTTAATAATTTCCAAAGGAATGAGTCCTCACTGTCAGAAGTGCATAAAGCCCTTTGGTCTCAAGAGTTTTAAAGCTCAGATTCTGTTTGGCCTTTGCTTCTGCTCTACTGAGTTGCCTGGAAAAAAATTATATCAGTAAAACCAAGAAGTAGTAGGAGTTACTACAAACCTTTTTCACCTATTAACTGTCGTGCAACCTCCTGTTGGAATTTCTCTAAACTCTCCAAGTCATCTTTCATATGGAAAAGTATGAGAAAAGGAAGGCCTTCTTCTGTCAGTTCCTGCAGAGAAAACAAAGGACAAATCACATTTCTTCCTTTCCTTAAGGGCACTTAAGTGATTCCAGGAACTTTCAAATTCAGTGAGATCTCTACTTTAAAAAACAGAAGAAAAAGACTAAAGACTAACTGCTAACCCTTCCTCTAAGATACCTGAGTGATACAGTTAACCAATGTTTCCTTCCTCTTATCATATACAGCAGATAAAGGATGACAGTATTTCATTGTCAGCATTTCAGGAAGGGATACACTTGCACTGGAATACTTGCACGAAAGAAATAACCCAATCCTGAGAAAACACAACATCTTCATAGAAACAACAGTAAGGCCTGAGTATCAAATGCTATGAAAGGCTGAGGGTGTATTCTAGACCCAGTCCTAGCTTGTTCACATAGTAAGGTGGTGCTTTCTTAGCATAACACAATGAATAACCCTATCACCTCCCCCTCAGTAAAGAAAAAAATCAGAAACTAATGACACAGCCATATCAGTTATTAAGTACTGCTCTTCTGCCAGTAAGTGTGTCCTGACTGGTCATCTGTGTAACGCTATTGCTAAATTCACAGGCTAATATATTACTAAAATTGATTAAAAATGCAAATCTTTGTTGGACAGGCAAACTTTAATTCCTCATAGGAATGCGTCCTTGCAGTCCGAGTGCCTTTAAAAATTTCTGTGCTGAGGGACACATAAATACAGGAATTCTTTGAATAATTTATTCTGGATTTTTCTTTTACTTAAATCCCAAACACAAACAATATGCACTTGCTTGCTTCAAAAGTGATTTTTAGGCACTTATGAACATCAGGTCAACTCACTACAGGGTGATTGAAAAAAAGCATCATTTATCATCTAAGAAATGCCTAGAGTTGTCTTTCATTTGTACAACTGGTGTAACAAACAAGTGCTGCTAATGCTTTGATTCAAGCCTGTACTAGCATAAAAATTGTGCTTTTTGAAAAAGACAGCACTGGTTCATTCTGCCATCAAATAGAAAAATTTCTTCAGATATTTCTGATTTGTAGTAAGTTGGAAGAAACACTTTTCCTGTCAGCAGGCAGCCAGTTACACAGTGTACATGAAATGGCTGTCCTTCTCCCTTCAACCAAATCCATCAGGTAAGTTGAAGCCTGGTCTTTTAACAGCAGATCCTCATAACTTCAGTGCTCTTGAAACCCAAGCTTCCCAACTCATCTATAAACCAACAACTAATCCTATTTGCTCATTCTCATTTTTACGTGCACAAATGTAGCTGAATCTCAGCATCCTCTCCTATTACAGGATGCTAAAAATCTGTTTTGTACCACTGCAGTTATGGCTCTGTTTCCCCCCTCATTTCACAAGGTACATTTCCAGAGGGAGAACTAAACAGAGCTTGGTGTTCTGGCTCTAAGGTCCCCTCTTTCTTGCAAGCAGCTAAGAGGACAACCTCAGCAAGTTACATTAACAAGATCTATTCATCTCCAAAACAAGTTGTTAGGACAGCTGGCTTGAATGTCTTGCTAATCTTGGCCCTAACTGGTTTCTATACAGTATCTTCCTTTGCTTTTCTATTCCAGCTTTCATAGCATGCCTCATTGATGAGGACACAGCAAGTAGAATAGCTATTTCATTTGCTTAGACTGCTCCCTCAAAAGCTGTTTCATTTGGCCCTGAGAATATCAAAAGATTTTTCATTAGATCTGAGCTTCTCATGTTACTTCTGTATGCCTTTGAGAAACTTTTTACCCTTTCAAAAACTTAAAGTTCAGCAGCATCATTAGACCACATAGGTTCATTGTATTCATAGAATCATAGAATGGTTTGCATTGGAAGAGAACCTTGAAGATCATCTAGTTCTAACTCCATTGCCGTGGGCAGAGACACTTGCAACTAGAGCAAGTTGCTCAGAGCTCCTTCCAGCATGGGATGGGGCATCCACAACTTCCCTGGGCAACCTGTTCCAGTACCCCTCCACTCTCACAGTAGAAATTGTTTTCCTAGTATCTAATCTAAACCTCCTCTCTTTCAACTTGAAGCCATTCCTCCCTGTCCTGTAGCTACATGCTCTTGTAAATAGTCTTCCCCATCTTTCCTGTAAGTTCCCTTCAGGTACTGGAAGGCCACAATTAGGTCACCCCAAAGCTGCCTCTTTTACAGGCTGAACATTCCCAAGTCTCTCAGTTTTTCCTAAAAGAGGAGGTGCTCCATCCCTCTGATCAACACAGTGGCCCTCTGGACTCACTCCAACAGGTCAAGAGGGCAGAGTGGAGGGGCAGAATTCCACCCCTCACCCTGCTGGCCACACTGCTTTTGATGCAGCCCAGGACATGATTGGCTTTCTTGGCTGTGAGTGTACATGGCTCGTGTCCAGCCTCTCATCCACCAGCACCCCCAAATCCTTCTTGGTTGCTCTTGATTCATTTAACACAGAACTAAACAGCCAGATTGCAGGTCAAACAGTGATTTCTTCTGAACGAAATCACTGATTCCAGCAGCCTATTCCTGTCAGGTACAGGAACTGTCTCAAATGGACAGTCTCCTCAAGTAGAAGACCTTGCTTCAGAGTTCTATTACTATGTGTTGTCTAAAGTCACAATGATGAACTCTGTTCAGATTGGGCATCTTCCTGCCCACAATGTTTACCAGATAATGAAAGCACTAAGAAAATGAGGGAAAAACCTACCAGTAGTTTACAGAGACCAATTTTGATTTTAAAAATTAATTTAAAGTCTGTGGAAGAATTTTTTGTCTTTATCTTACTTATATGGTACCATAAAAACAGCTTAACAGTCACAGCATTTCATATTTTTACCCTGTACTGCTGTGCAGTATGCACAATAAGTAAGAGCCCATTTAAGTAATTGTACAATCTAAGCAAGCAGAAATATCTCAATTTTGGCATGTTTAAATTTGTTTGGCTACTGGTAGCACTGAATTTTTTAAACAAATGTTGCTAGGCAAAATGTCACATTGGAATCGTTTCTATCTACCTAAGTAAGTAGGAATCAAGAGCTAAGAGAACAAACAGAAAAACCACAACATACTGTGGTACAAAGCTGACAGTGATGAACCTTTGGCTTCTAAGGCTCAGAATCCTCTTTCACCATGGGAAAAGTACTCTGAAAATCTACCACACACTTCTAGAGATGTTAACATGTGGCATTCTTTTACATATTGAGTTGCAAACGAAGAATTAAGATTTGTTAAGTATCAGAACTTTCCAATAAAAGTTGGCAGGATTGACTAGAAGAAAGTCAACCAAAATGGTTTAAGTAATAAAACTACTCTGTCCCTCCCTCCGCCATGAAACCTGAAGCATTCCATGAGCCCAGAACAGCAGTGTTAGATGCACTGCAGATTCAGGATCAAAAGAAAGTGTGCAAACTGAGAATGAATCATATGACTGATTCTTTGGTTTCTCATCCAGTGTGGACAACATACTGCAATTTGTTACAAACCTCAGCAGAGTTTCTAGCAGTTGCTGTGGCTGTGTCAAAATACTCCTTTTGAGATACTACAAACTCGATAATTTTCTAAAGACGTTTTATCCTGTTGTTTATTTTACAAGAAAAATCATAATACAGAGTTGGAAAAAGACTAAAGAAGACTAAGTTACAAAAGAAAACAAAAATCATTGAAAGGCAATAATGGTAACGAGAAGAAATGAGATGTTTAAAAGCAAATTGCCAGGTTCCACCTGATGAATTACAGCCAAATAAAGAAAAGCAAGTGAAACAGCACATGCAGCTAAAAAAGATTAAGATTGTACCAGTGCTTAAATGCAGACTGAAAGAAAAAACAATAAAAATCACAGTTTTTATTACCATTCCCAGAAAATTGCAATTCCACGGTCAGCCACAATTTCATGTGCTTGTTTATTAGATAATGCTTTGGAAGTGATTAATACAGTAATATTTTTCTACCACTAACATTAACATTAAACTTTAAAAGACAGTTATAACTAAAGGATAGTTCACAAGTGTTTTATTCTTTCAAATTGTTGACATCCTGACATGGGCATTTTCTACCCTGACTAGAAGTATTTTTTCCAAGGTCTGGATCTTAAATGTATCGTTTAGTCATGACATCCACATAATAATATATACTTACTTTAGATAAATAACACAACCTACCCAAGGTGTTACACATCCACACATACTTACAGACACACACATTCTTAGCCTTCAACTGTCCACATTCCGCAAAATCACCAGACACTTCTTATTGGACCTACGTGCATCAAAGCTGGTCTGCACTTCAGTCACAACAACCTCATGCAATGCCATCAGGCTAGGGGAAGAGTGGCTGGAAAGCTGCCTGGTGGGAGAGGACCTGGGGGATCAGCAGGACCAGGGCAGTGATTACCCCCTTCTACTCAGCACTAGTGCGGCCACACCTCAAATCCTGTGTTTAGTTTTGGGCCCCTCATGGCAAGAAAGACATTGAGGTGCTGGAATGTGTCCAGAGAAGGGCAATGGAGCTGGTGGAGGGTCTAAAGCACAAGTCTGATGAGGAGCAGCTGAGGGAGCTGAGGGTTTAGCCTGGAGAAGAGGAGGTTCAGGGAGAAACTTACTGCTCTCCACAGGTCCCTGAAAGGAGGTTGTAACAAGGTGGGTTTTGGTCTCTTTTCCCAGGTAACAAGCAATAGGACGCAAGGAAATGGCCTCAAGTTGTACCAGGGAAGGTTTAGACTGGATATTGGGAAAAATTTCTTCACTGAAAGGGTGGTCAGGTATCGGAACAGGCTGACCAAGGAAGTGGTAGAATCACCATCCCTGGAAGTGTTAAAAAAAAACCCCACATGGATGTGACACTTGGGGACATGGTTTAGTGGTGAACACAGCAGTGCTGGGTTAACAGTTGGACTCGATGATCTCAGAGGTCTTTTCCAGCCTTAGCCATTCTATAATTACAGCCTCTTACTTTGGTAGCGTATGCAACTACAACAAGTCTGCCTCCTGTGAATTTCAAGTCTAAACAAAAAGTTCCAAAAGAATGAAAAACATTATCTGACAGCTATTTTCTGCCTAAAACAAACTATACAAAGTTCTTTGAAGTGAATTAGGGACCTTGAAAGAGACATTTTAGTTTTGAGAAAAACCCCAAAACTAGAATTGTAGAAAAAATTCTTACCTCCCCATTTTCAAACGTAATTTCTCTAACTAGTGGTACACATTTATCTTGTGTCCATGCATAAACCAAATCAAAATTGGTTAGCGAGCCTAAATACACCATATCTGGAGCATTTTCCTGTTGAAAAGAAAAATACAGTAGATGACAAAATAAAAGTGACATTGCTACCTACAGAGATTAACTACTCAGTATAAAATAACAATATTCATATAAATATTGAAAGCAAATCTTATACCAATTATACCCTTGTGCATGCAAGATTTCGATTAACTATTTGATAAAAGTACAAATGGAAAATGAATATTAGATATGATAATTTATGCAGTCAATGCCACTTTTTAAGACAAGTTATAAAGAGTTGAAAAGATACTTTGTTTCCCAACTGGAGATGCTTCAAATAAAGGCTATTTAGACTTTTGCTAGGTTGAGAAATAGTATCTCCAGATGTAAAACCCCATTTAGATATAAACTAAATGCAGACAGCAAGCTGCTTCATGCTGATAGCTACAAAGACTCACCAAAACCCCCTCCTAATGTCCTAGAAGGACTTAAAATTGGTATTTTACATTTGCTTTGCCAAAGAGATATGAATAAATAATAGTTTTCCTTTATTTGCTAGTAGTTTTAACTTATAATTCAGTGCTGACATCCTTTAATTTAATTACAATTTTGGTTAACATGAAGTGAAGCATGACTTTGCAAGCTGTGGCCATGATTAAACACACCTTAATTCAGAAATGCCATATAAATTAGGTAACCTAATAAATTCTGTTGTTGAAAAAAGAAAAAAAGAAGGTTTGAAACTCCCTTCCTCCTGAGGTCTTTTTTTCATCTATTTTCTCTTTTGTAAGCAGCTCTTTTCCTACAGTAAATTTGCAAAAGGAGTAGATTTTTAGATAGTATGTCTCTAAAAAGCAGCTCTTACAGGTTTTCTTCTGTACTGAATTTTTCCTCAAGTGAAACTATATTTATGAGAGTTTGTTAACACAGAGTAAATTTTTTTTGTTGTTGTTTTTTTTCAGTTAGGAGAAGAGCTCTTAACCCTTGTGGACTAAAGTACACACAAGACAGGCAAGTGACAGTCAGAAAAATATGTAGTAATTGTTACATGCTTTGAACAACAGGAAGTGCACCAGCTTCATACATTTTTAAGAGTTCTACAGGACACACAATATCTATACACATAATGCGTTGACTGTCTTTCTCAGAAAAAAAAAATTAATTCTGGACATTGACATTTCGAGTGACAGATTTACATTTTGTGCATTAACTGGCAACACATGAGATGGAGATCTCTTTCACTGACTCAGAAACACGTTTCTATGATCCTATTTCTCACACTCTTTAGTGACGAAATAAAACCAAGATTTGAGATGCAGTAACATACTGAATGATACAAACAGTCTTCACTTGTTCATATTCACATATAACGACAATAATCAGAATAAAATACATAGTTACACTTACCCCTGGTGGCTTGTAGATTATATTGTCTCCGCTAAATCTTTCTGCTTTTGAAATAGCCCTACAACAAACCAACCAGTAAGCATGTCTTGGTAGACACAAATCAAATAACTGAGATACCAAAAATCATATTTTAATTTGCTATCCTTGCTTTACTTCTTTCTTTTTTTTTCCCCTTCACAATTTGAAAATTAAAATCCTTCATTTTTAAAGCAAACTGTACAGTGACTCCACAGAAACTTGACCTGGCTAGATAAGAGGGCATTCATGGAGTCAGCAAGATGTACCCCTAAGATCAGAAGTGTGGACTAAAGGCACTGAAGTGCAAGTGATGAATGCCAGTACAATTCTGGATAAGAGATTGTCAGGGAAATTAAAGAAGTGAATTAAAAAAAAATATTAAGGAAGGAGAGGAGAGAAAGGTGGATTCTTGTTTGCATTTACTCTTCCTGTTCCACTGTTTACACTAAAATTTTACATCTTATCTACCCTGATAAAGAAGGGCTTTGAGGTGTTCCATCAGCACAAGCAGTGGGAAAATGGATGGCAAGTGAGCCCACACTGTTCGTGTTACCCTCAAAACAGATCTAGAGAGCAGACAGAGCATGCAGTTCCTGGCCACTGATGATACAGTATGTGTGTACCCAGAAGACATGCAGTTCCTCCTTGGTGTTCAGCTTACTATGTCACCTCAGTAAGTTCCTCTCTTGCCTCCAGAATATTTTGTGGTTCCTTAATCCCAGTCACAGCAGAGCACCCTGAAAGCTGCTAGCTTGTACCCGAAAATTGCCATCTCTTATTCAAGCAAGTTGGGACAGCTACAATTCCAACGGAGGAGACAGAAAAATAAAAGGAAAGAAAGCTCTCAATAAAAACAAACCCTTAAACAATCTTCACATATATAAAGAGGCCTCCTCACTCCTTCTCTCCCATGCCTAGCTGTTCCAACGTAAATCAGGCTGGCAAGACAGAACTGACTAGATGCATATGCCACAAAAAAGTAAAAGTGCCCATTTCTTTTCCCTTTAACACAAGTAAAAAGAAAGAATGTCAGCCTTTGGGAAACATTAGGTAAGTGTTCCCCCTTCTCTCTCCTCTAGGTGCAATATAAACATTGGTGAAGACTGATTAAGAAATGTAAGAGGGAAATAAAAAAAGAGAAGTCAAAATATCTCAATTTATCTCACTGCAAGATTAGCTAAATCTTCCAGGGGTCTGAACAATTTAGAGTGCCAAGAAAAAGACAGACAACGTAAGCCTTAACTCAAAGTACCTAAACTTTATTTCCTTCATTTGATCTGATTATCCTTTTCTTATCACATAGAAAGGATGCCTTGCATAGTATGTTACACCTATCAGTATTTGCATCAGTTTACAGATGCGTATTTTGAAATGTATTTTTATATTCCAGACAGGACTCCTCACATAATGTGAAATTAGGCTTCCTAGTGACCACCATCACTGACAAAAACCACTCCCATACCAAATAAGCCTTCACTGAATAAGAAGAAAGTGCAGACGTAGAAGCCACCTGCCCAATCACTGCTTGATAAGATGATGATAATCTACAATGAAATACATGCTCTGGGGTAACCCTGTGGTAGAAGCCAAAATGTCCTCTTCTGCTCTTCCACTTCAGTAGCTGCAGTTGTGACTGATTTTTGTTTTTCAGATAACTGAAATAAAGTATGGACATGATGTGAAAATCCCAAATGCCTGAAGATACACCTCTTTAAAACAACTACTAAAACGGAAACACTTCAGTTTGCATTTCATCTCTTCTTGAAGCAGTAATGTAAAAGGGAACCTCTTGTAACCACACAATCCCCCCCCTCCACTGCTGTATTTACTTGCTAACAAAAAATTAAAACAGTTCCTAGATTCATCACTCTCTTCCATAAACTACTTACAGATCATCACAGCCTTTTAGGATAAAAGTATATTTTGGATGGTTTTTGTTTTGTTGTGGGGTTTTTTTTTTGTTTTTTTTTTTTTTTGGTTGGACATTCTCTTCCGCTTTCATGAACATTTCAGATCCATTCCTCTCTAGTTCTACTTCTAAAATCTGCCTCCAATAATGTCTTCATCACATTCTTCACCTATCTCCTTCTGCCGACAACTCCTTTCACTAATCTTGTTCTATTGCCACCTCAGATCTGTACAGAACTGTAAGGATCTGTTCATTAAAGAAGTCTTTTAAGCATCAAGATGATCTACAACTAAGTACCATTAATACAGTTTAAAAATAAGCTATTACAAGAACCTAAAGCCAGAGTAATTTTGGCATAAGGGGACTGTTCTGCCTTGACAGAAATCAGCAAAGTAATTATTTTTTTTCCTGTCAAATTGATTGTTTTATTTGAGCTTACTAGAAATTTGAACAACTGCTCACATTACCTACCATATACCTCCCAAGCCACATAGCTGTTGAACTCTGTTCATAGCAAACCCAAAAATACCTCCCAGGGTCTGTCAGGATGCTCAGTCAGAAGAGTCTGACTGATCAGTGCCAGCTCCCTGTGAAGCATTTTGCTGTATATAATCCAAAAAGAAAACACTGATATGTGGCCAGTATCTCCCTCAGAAGTCTTTTCACATATAGGTTTTTTTAGGAATCTTAAGAGCCACACAGCCACTCACAGGTGAAAACATTTAGTTCCCAAGGTTGCTGCTGGGAAGGCTGCACTTTAAAACACTAACAGCTCCAGGCTAGAAAGGGAATGGGAGTCTGGAGATAAGAATAATGACAAGCCTGCTGTGCAATCTAGTTATATAGGTAGGTTAAAAATAATCAAACTCTGATCCATTCCATTATGTCTGACTATTGCTTATATCTGAACAAAAAAATATAAAATAAAACCCCCATAGTAACCACTTCAAGAACAATGCCCAACAACCAAATGGTAACGCTGAGTGGCGGGAAACTATTTCTTATTACATGAAATTGACAGACAGCAAACCAAAGATGAACAGACTCAAACAACCAGAGAGAGAATCTTTGAAGTATTGCTATCTTACTAATAATTTTTAAAAAGGTATTTCTGAAGAGACCAAAAAGCTATATGAGGGGGTAAAAAATAACTTAAAATTCTAGTAACAACTCAGACTGTCTGTCCTGAGAGCAAGCCTGCATGCACTCATCAGAAAATGCTTGAGATAATGGACACTCTTTGGGGATAAGACTGACAGACCTACAGACCACAGGTTTGCCTGCTTACACAGCCATACCATTACCTAACTGGGAACTGAAAGCCCTGTGTACTCCCACACACTGCAAATACTCTCCCCCACCCCCAAACTATTTCTGGAGACATATTAGAAGAGGCATCAGTGACTGGCAACAGATTTTGTTCAAGCAGATGAAACCTCTTCTACCTCAATACATCCTCTCAGTTTCTCTGCTATTCTCCACTACACCCAGTTCAAAAAACTTGAGGCAACTTTAAACATTATAAAAGCTAGCTTAACCCATGCAAATTCCTGATCCTGCAACTGTGGGTAAACTGGAAAACACTGCATTCCCATTAATGCCCAATCACTTCAAACTGGCAATTGGAGGTGGCATATTAAGCATTGCTGAAAGAATCTATAATTCCATTTCATGATGCTAGTTATAAAGGGAATCACTCACTCCCAATTTGTTCTTCTTCTTCCAGTGAATGGCTTAATATTTTAAAATATCACTCTAAAATCTGTATAACAAAGAGAAAGTTGAATTTCTGTAGGTTTTTCTTCTAGGCTTACACTCCATAGCTCACCAATGCAATTGCCTTTCTAAATTGTTGCATTGACCAGGCACAGAAATTAGGCATTTTGGAATAAGGCCAGCTACTGAAGCATCAAGAGGAAATGAGCAAGCAACTACATGCTTTACAGGGAAAAAACCCTATAAAATAGAGGGAAAAGACCCCTTCAAAAAATGGTCCTATTTCAAAGAAAAAAAAAACCTTAAGAGGTTGAAAAAAAAGAGTTACTCAGTCTGCAAAGCTAATGAATTTTTTTTCAAAACATTTTCAAGCTCTTCCGTACTTGTTCTTTTCTCTCTCTAAAAAAGCAGATTTTTCAGACACAACTGTCTTTTACCCCCTGAAACCTCCCCAGTTACATTTAAACCATACTGATAAAGAGTGGAAAAAAAAAAGAAAAAGGAAGGGAAAAAATAAGAGTTGAATTTCACAGCAAACATTAAGGTTAGGAAGAGTTTTCTCCTTCTATCCTCTCAGTGTATTTATCTATTAAGGTCTAGTCTCGTCAGTTATGAAACGCTGAAAGTATTAAAGAAGTCCATTCAATTAAATTTATATACAACTCATAAACAGAATTTCAATAAGGAAGCCATGCAATCAACAAGTTTTCACACTTACCCAAAGGCAGATAGGAACACACAATCGTCATGCAAAATATTTGCTACTCTTTCAAAGGTTCTGTAATTGTCTGAGTCCTTTTGCTCAAAGTATCCAACAATATTCCTTCTGCTGCGCTGTAAAGACAGAGGTTGAATTATAATTTGCACCAAATTATCAAATACTATCATTACTCCCTATGGATATTAAATACAGAGATGCCATTCATTTGACAGTCATTAAATGCAGAAATTATGTCTTTTCTGCCTTTTCATTATTCAGAAGCATCCTTGCAAGTATTTTTTCAGTGGAAAATATTTTTTAAGTATCTTGTCAAATGCAACATATTATTCTTTTCAAATTATTAAAAGCAAAATAAGTAATTTGGTCGTGGAGTGAAGGTGCCTGAAAGTTAAAAATTATTTCAATATAGTAATACTGCAAATGATTCAGTTTTCCACTCAGTTAAAAAAAAAAATAACGTACTGAACATTTCTGAATGAAAAAAAAAAGTAAATATGTTCTTTAAATACATTATGTTCCACCAATTCAACATTAAAAAAAAAAAATAAATAGGAGTAAAATTGAAATACTTACATCAAGAGAACTAATTTCTTCCAAATCCTGGACCTCCCGAATGGGGTTACTCTTCTGCTGCCTGATGTAGTCTGCTATTGCTGTCACAGATCTCTGGCCCCTGTATTCCCTCTTCATCATCATGCCATTCCGGAAGAGTTTCAGAGTTGGGTATTTGCTTATCCTGTACCTCTGAGCTATATCAGCTAAAAAGAAATTAAGAAAATAAAACCAAAGCCCTACAAATACAGAAATACACTGCACATGCTGTCTTATACATGTATATGTCTGCATCTCTGAACCAGTAGTTCCACATCTTTAAACAAGAACAGAACACCACTGAAAAGAAAACCCAAATCAAGAAACAAGCACTACCACTGGGCAGAGACAGATGGTAGCCACATTATTTCTCACATGTACTGATCTTTGCAAAGAAAAAATTACCAAAATTGGGATAAGTAAAGAGTCGACTTGGGTAGGCATATTCATTTAGTGCACTTCCTATGAACAACTAGGAAAACCAATTTAAGAGCATACCAAGAACATCAGAATCTTAAAAAGCTTGCCACATCTCAGTTAATTAACCCACTTGAGAAACTTTTAATAAAATAAATAATCCCCTAATTTTCTTTAAACTCATTATGATTTTCATCTCAATTGCAGTGCTGGAAAAAAACCCTGTCATGTCTAAAATTTTAGAGAATGTGAACCCTGTGTAAAGTATTTCTTGAAGCCTACAAAGGCCAGAAGACTGCTGTTACAGTTCTGAGCTGTTCAAGTTTTGAACAAACACAAAATTTCAAGTTTCTAAATTAAGGCAAACACCTCTCTGGTCAACTAGTGTCAGCATTCCCTTCAAGACAGATCTTCATTCAGATCTATACACGGAGCCCAACTTTCTTCTAGACTTGAACCACACATAGCTTCACACAACAAAGTAATGTGTATTTGCATTCCTCTAGCATAAGAGCACCAGCTCTTTTCCCCTGTGTATAACATGTCAGTTATTTAAGTTATTAATTCATAAGACTTACAAACGTAAAAGAATAAAAAACAGAAAGAGGTTTTACAGGAAAATGAGAAGAGTAGCAAAGAAGAACAGTGAGCAGAAGCAATAAAGCCCAGTTTCCCACACGTGTGTGTCCTGTGCCCCTCATCTTCAACCACCACAACAACATGGTTCTTCACCACACCCCATCAGAGCACTAGTGCCACATATGTCCCTCTTCCACTTTGCTAAATCACTGGGACACAGCAAACTGCAATAGGTGCTGCAGCTAGCTCCCAGCTGGGCATGGACAGGGAAGCCTACACATAAGCAGCAAGTGGTTCATGGCACATCGAGCAGGATCCAGCAGCCTTGAGTTTTTACAGCAACCTTTGCTACAGGGCAGAAGTTGGTTTTGTGCATCTCCAGTATCCAGCAACTGCTTTAATCGAACTTTGTAAGTACTCATAACTTCGAATGCTTTTCCCTCTTTCAGATGTGGCTGAAGTTCAGCAAAAAGCTTGAAGTTTTTACAAGGAAGAACTGAAGAAACAAGGTAACCAGATACACATTGGGTTCTCAGGAAAACAAGACTGAAAACAAACAATAGAGACAAAGCCTGTAAAGCCAGGTAGATTTCCACAAGCACTTTCCCATTGCTTTTGCTTTGTTGTCCCTTGGAAATAAACCTAGAAATAAATAAAATCTCACAGCCTCTGTGAAAACCACATGTCCTCTATTACAGACTGGGATGCATTTTACCTAAACCTCTGTTCCTAAACCCAGCTAAATCCCCACATATAAGCAGTCTGTCCACTTTTCTGAGCTGCTTAATCCTTAGAGGTGACTCATTCAAGTCAGCCACAGCGACCACACTTCCCCTTCTCCCTTTCTCTCTCAAGAAAGGAGAGAGATGGTGAACTTCAACAGGCCAGTTTATTCTGTGGAGACAAAGAAATTTCATTCAGTCAACAGAGAGGAAGGCAATGAAAACGTGGGCTGAATGCATGTTCTCTTACTTTTCACAGACTCCTTAAGAAGTCACAGGATACACTTCAGGTGACTTGGATTAGCCCATGGCAGGAAAGCAACCAAATGAGGGACCATCAGCATATGTGGCACAGTACTAAATTATGTGAAAACGAATCCTTTCTGACCCTCCTTCTCAGTTACATATTTATCACAAGCAGATTTGCTTTCTATCTTAATCTTACTCTTTTTTTAAAGAGAACAGAGACAGAAGTCTGAATTCCCTCCTACCTGGAGAACTCTCAGCGAAACCCTCAGCAGCTGCAATTGCTGCCAGAAAACTACTTATCCTACTTACAGCTTTAGTTACTGAAAACAATCTTTGTACCAGTTGCACGACTTAGACAAATCTGAGAACTGAAAACATATTGTGCACAGCAAAGGAGTAACTGTTCTTTAACATCCCACAAAACAGTAAACTTAAAAGCTTCACCACCTAAAAAGCTAAAGAAAGATTTGCATCACTACTAAATAACACAGAATTCAGCCTATCAATTTTGACTAAGAGAAAGGCCTTGAACCTGTTTCCTAAATACCCCAGAAGTGCATTTCTGAATGCACTAATTACAGTTAAAATTAAGGGTAAAATATTTTATGTCTTCAATTTAGAGTACTTTTATTTCAAATTAATACAAATTTCTCATGGGAAGATGCCAATATATTCAACATTAATGAGTATTAGATCAATAATATTTTCTTCCTTTAGATTCCACCACTTTTTATTTAAAGTATCTAAGAGCCGCCTGCAAGAAGCTGACAAATATAGCTGGGGAGGAATCACTCCATATTTGCTTGGTGGAAGACAAACATCATCTGCAAACCAGGCATTTGCTGCCCTTCTCTGCTGATAGAAGGACCTTTGGTCTGACAGTACATCAGTCGATCAAAACTTGATCAGAGTCTGATAAGGGACAAGAAGCACCACATGTCAGGGTTTCGCAGGAACACATTGAGATTAAAGACCAGTACTGTTACAGATCTGCACAGCAAGAGAGCACCAAAAATGATGCTTTTCTGTTTCACAACATGGACTTTTGCTTCAGGTTATTTCCACAGTTATAGGAGGATTGCAAGGGTTGCAGAATGGGCATTCAGGGGATCATGAACATTCTCCAAGATGGAGATTGCAGTCCCTAGGGATGTGGATCTTCATCAAGGGCTGAAGTTGCGTAAAAAATGTAATGGTAATAAAATGCCCACTGTCAAAACTGAATTCAAACATTATTTCATAAGTCAGAACTTGTGCGATCTTTACAAATTACATTGAGATTCCATGAATGCTGGTATTTGAACTAACACAGAGAAATGACACTCCTACACAAGTAAGTATTTGAAAACCATCTTTTTACAAAATATAAAATGCAAGTACACGAAAAATTGTTTGAATTAATTCAAAAGTCAAATAGAGTAAACCTTAAATGCTTCATTAAGCTCTGGTATTTGATACAGGTAGAGTTAGCATAAGCAGAGCAACTACAAAATTATATTCCTTTTAAAATTGGAAATATACAATGCAAATACGTGGAATATTGTTTGAACTCATTCACAGACTGCATTAGTTATAGTAAATCCTAAATTAAATTTAAAAATATTTCCAGACATTCCCACTGCCCATTTTTTCAGGAGAAGAGAGATTTGAAACAGATAAGGGCAATCTCCCTAAAAACAAAAAAAACCCTCTCCCAGTTACGACTTTATGACTTTTTATTTTCTTCAGGTGCTAAGGTACCTAAAAGGAGCAAATCTTGAGTTTGTACTTTGCTGAATTAATCATTAAATCACAAGTCTAGTGCCTGTGCTACCAGAATGGTTTCCCATTAGTTATGACAGGAAGCTACTGACATGCTTGATCATTTTTTCTTCTACAAATCAGAAATTTCAAGCACAGCAATGACTGTTGTATTCAGATGATTCTCTCCTCCCCATTTTGCATGTGTAACTGCTGACATGCAATAATTTCTACACCACCCAGGCTTTTTTCCCACTATTTATTCTAGCACACTCCAACAGCAATGTCTTACAGTTGCACATTTCTCTTCACAGATGCACTGTTTTGATACTTCTCCTGAGCAAAGCTGATTCTTACAACAGGTAAGAGACAGCAGCTTTTATTGTTCTTTTGAAAGAAACTTTTACATGAAACCTGACATTTTCACTCATGTTTTCTAAGACAGTCTCGCACATATCTGAGCAAGACCCTCTAAGAAAACATGCTTTCTGAGCTATCATTTGTGATCCATATCTTTAACATCTCTTGTACTGTTCAGCCATTTCTCCATTGTCTGAGCACTGTGTGTTCCTCTACTCAAAGGAATGCCAAACCCCATTTTTTGGGGACTGTCAGGCTTTGCACATGGTGTGTACACACATCACCCAAGCTACAGCTTTAAGCAAGCACACAGCCAGTGACTTGTTTCCCACAATGCTTCAGACTCCATTGTTCTAAGTTAACACCACAACACGCTGTCCAAAGTTCAGCTAGTATATCAGACTACATCTATATCTCAATTCCATTGCCACCCAACAGTGAAGAATATGTTGAAGAACTACACCAAAACACACTCATCCGCAATGCACCTAAGAAGTCCATTGAAGGACTGGCAATATTTACAAAGCATCAGGGTATCACCCCACCATTAACTCAGTACACTGTTTTAATCTTTGGGGGTCATAATTCATACCACTACCAAACAAATATTTAGATTTTAAGTCTACAGGGCTGGCTCCCAAAAAACATGTCCACTAAGATTTGAACAATACCGATAATTATCCTAAATGCCCACCTCATAATGTAAGGCACCACCTGAAGAATTCACATGTTGAACAGAGGACTACAACAGCCTGAAAAGTTATCTGGAAGAAAATCAAAGTTTCAAAACTCAAACCTGGTAAAAATAACTTCTGAAAATATTTGTTGTCTCTTTTTCTAAGGGAGAGGTGGAGGTGTGGGGAGGTGACTTCATGTTGTTTGAGGAAGAGCTAGCACAAAAACCCAAGCTACTGCATTTCCTGACTTTGGTTATACATGATGGTTATAGGAGTTGCACAGCTGCATATATGGAGAGCTTGAATTTACTGGATCTAATACTATTTTTTTTGTGTATGTTAAATCATCTTCAGTCTTTCTCACCCTTCTGCAATACCTTCAAAACTAACAAATTCCTTCAGCTGTATATTTGAAGCTGGGAC